CGTTTAATATTGACCAAATCGTACATGCAATTAACCCACCGAGTAAAATATAAAATGTGCTCAAATGAACAACTGTGTGATTATGATAGATATACAGAAAAACGATAAGGATTACCTTCCACGCATACTTCCGAGTCACTCATAAACATTTGTCTTGAACATACAACATTCTTATTTATGCAGAGCCTCCAACAATGCGTTCACAAACCACACTTGTCATTGCATTCTTTCGTGACAAGAATAATCCTGTCGCAAAATTTTTTACTGACAAACAGTCGTTCATACTGTCTTCGCAATTTCATTTCCGTTTATGGAACGAACTAACTTTTAGATATAACTGCAATTTTTCTGCTTACCACTGACTGACTACCTCTAATTTCTCAGTTTTTATGCATTTCACACCCTTACCAAACCCGCATTGCCAATTATAGTACGATACCAAATGTACGAAAAAACTTTTTTCATCATTTGAACATACCATAAATATAAACACTGCCACTTTCCCATTACGAATATGACAACGCTTTGATTGCATTCCTCCCAGGATTGGACGTAATTTTTATTACAGTATAAAAATTATTATGTTCTCATAATTTCAACGGGATCAGTGCGATCGTTCGATTTTTCAGTGAGATTTATTGCCATTCTAGTAAAACCTTTCCAGAGACTCTCAGAACTCTTTGGGATTTCTGGACACAACTTCTCCAGTTTAGACGTACTCAGAGCGCAATTACCTTTCGTTGCGCACAATTCACGATGTTTTTCGCTTTTTATATCCAATACTTCATAAGAACGATTCGAATTCGATGAAATAATCTAAAAGTATTCATCATTTGTTTGTAATGAGTATAGGTTTACAGTACATCACAAGGTACTACAGTTATGAGAAATATAAAACAAACTTCTTCATAGAGTTTCAGAATTTGAAGCACGCTTATAGGTTCTGGATTCACCAAATTTATGTTGCCACTGACGCGCCTCTCCATTAAGTCAATCAATGATGGAATGCAATCATCCAGAATTGTTATCGAGACGGGAACATCCAAAATTTGCCTTTCAAAAATAAATACAAAACTAAATCTTAAGATGAAATGAGTACTAAATACTAGATTGTAATACGTGACACATTTGACACCGATTTCATCTCACGTGGACATATTCTATTATTTAATCCATTTGGGACAGCACGTGATTATAAGAACATGCAGAAAAAAAATTGTGAAATCTAACCTGTATTTTAAAATCTTTGCCAGTAAATTCCTCTCCTCATCTAAATTGAAATTCAGTGGTAGAGTAATGCGAGCATTTAGACATTCTTTTGTGCCCCCTTGAAATTGTCTTATCATGCGATCAGTCACTCCTTTTACAATGGAATAGGAATTTCCAAAGAATGTAGGCAAATCTAAATTTAAATGAACCTAATAATCATTTTATTTAATTATCATGGTAAATAAAGACACAATATCAGGAACCAGTTAAAATAATACCATCATCACAGAAACCATCTCCTCCAGCTGCATGTTCATGATCGTAAGAAAATAAGTAGCCAGTGCCAACATATGTGAAATGTAAACCTAATTTATGACACATTTCCGCTAGAGCTATGACTGAAAATAAATTATCGCGAATATTTTCGAAAGTTCGCTCAGGTCCACCTGAAAATGTCTTGTGCATATTTTCCGTGATTTTCTGATACGTGCATTTGACTCAAAATCTACAAAGTTGAGAGCAAACGCTTCACAAATGATCGAAAAAGTCTGGATCACTTTCAGTGACTATACATACGCGAATGTTTTTTAAAAAATATTCCACTCAAAAATTTTAAACTAATTTGTACCCTCAAGATATTCGATTGTATTCAATTCACCACCATGTGTTCTTCCGGTACAGCAAAGTACGTGTGTGCAATGCATTTTTGATAGTTCGCTCAACACCTAAATAGACTTTTAACTTTGACTTCTTTTCACTTAAATTAATACATTAAACGAAAACACGGGCTTTTTATGCCAAATCCTTCCACCTGCTCATAGGAATCAGTTCCAATTTTAGATTCTGCCAATGTGTATGAAATCTCTTTTTTACACAAAGCTTTACAAAAATTCTGCCCAATCCAACCTTTACCACCGTACACAGCAACAACCATTTTTTGATTCTTTTTTCGTAGACTTAATGCCGATTTGACAGTTTCTCTGATACCTGAGTATAAAGGTTTCGTTTATGAATGAAATCTTTCAAAATTCCCCTTCAGTACACATTACTGTGTCTGGAAAATTCAGATATATATTTACAGTGAATCATGCCATTTCTGTTTTAAGAAAAAACATTAAGTAGCTTTCGTCTAATCAACAAGTAGAAAAATTTTGTAATCTTTCGACGTATTCAACTATTCTCTATTAAGGATTTCTAAATAATAAGAAATCTTTAGCACTGATCAGAATTCAAAATTTGAACATGATTTACCTTCTTCAATATCAACTTTTTGTGACCACTGAATTTCCGATTTAATTTTGCTGCAGTCAAGTAAATAGCGTAAATCATTATAGGGTCGATCAGGAATACTAACAAATTCAACGGGAGATGGGTCTCGCTCAAGCTGGCGATCTACTTCTTTTTGTATAATGTATGCCAAATCAATTACTGCGGAAATTACAACGAAATTCATAGATACAACAATTAACTGCAATCATAAATTCTTGAAACACCTCATTAAATATAAAACTAGATATATATTAGAAAAATTACTATTCATTTCGAAATCTGATCCAATATTGTAAACTTCATATATTTGCCCACGTTCAACAACTTGACGAATGCCTTCTGCTACATCGTCTACATACAACCATGAACGTAATTGTTTTCCACTACCTTGAACCATGAATTTTTCTTTATTTTTCGCCACTTCGATGAAACGAGGAACTACCTAAAAGTTCTTAATTGTCAAAGTTTTAAAAAATTCCATGGGTTACTCATTAAAAAAACAACCTCTTTTATACATTTCTAATGATGCGTTTATTATCATCTTCAACTATACAAAATTTGAATCAAATTCTATTATAATTATTTGAAGTTTCTATAAAACCTTGACATTCCACTGATTTGGTCCATAAACATTATTGATGCGCAAAATGATAATTGGCATACCGAACTTTTCACAGCACATACTAATGTATGATTCACACGCTGCCTTAAGAAGTAAAAATTACTACCAAAATATAATTTTCAAGTGTTTGTTTTTAGTGCAATAACGAAGTCAATTTCATAATTATGTAACCTTTGTGGCTGCATAGGGATTTCCAGGTAAAAAAATTGCGTCTTCTTTTTTACCTTTTTCATTTGCTGACAATTTTGAATCACCATATACCTATATAAAATGCGCACTTTGAAATGATCTTAGATTAAGACAAAAATTAGAGTAATCAGCGATAAAAATAGATCGCAAATATTTCTGCAAAAACTGAAAAATGTAATGATTTCGATTACTTCAAACTTTGCACACAAACTGCCTAACAAGAAGTTCATTCAGTAGTAAGCTGATAAAAATCTTTGAGATTCTGAGCATTAGCATTTTTTAAATCGCTACTTCTTAACAAACCAATGTTAGACTGAAGCTTTTATAGAAACATGCTTCCTAATTTACGCTTTGAATTACTGACAAAATTTGAAATAAATTGGCACAAATACAACTTCATCTGTGCTGATATGCAGGAATCGATGGATTTTGCCGTACGATCGAACAGTTCCTAGAAATTGGATAAGAGCTATTACATTATTTTCTATAGATTCAACGGGATCATCATAACATCGAGTTGAAGTGCAGTCCGCAGCAAAATGTATCACAGTATCAATCTAAAATAACATTAGAAAATTAATGCGTAAAATCAAATCTTTTCTAATATTTGCAGCAGAAATTTTTTAAGATTCTTGCTCTCTTTTGAATTAATCCGTTCAAATCTGCGCTTTCATTCTTCAAAGTGGCCATTTATTTACAAGACGTCTTGAAGACATTAAAATGTGGTCCAGCCACTACTAAATTTACTATTAAAAGTTAAGTGCCACTTTACTTAGTAGTGAATGGCAACGTTTTAGAATCTAGCAACGTTTCATTTTCTTGTTCTCATCCTTTTCTCAACACCATTACGCAAGAACAAATGAAATGCATAATAAATGTGAAAAACAGGCTTAAGCAAATCTTAATAATTATACTTATCAGTTTCCAACACAAAAACTGACTAAAAGTTCTCAATCATAGCAGTAAAGTCTCTTCACTAGAGTTCAATCACATATTACAAAATCACTTTGCATTTTTGGCCATTAGAGAAAAAAAGAAAGAAGCAATTAAAAACTGCAAATATTTGCATCCGCAATTTACAATATGAGAAAACTTATCGAGAAGTCATATATATGAACCTAATGCTGAATAAAATTATCAACTAGTTTTCATATTAAAGACGATGAGGGATGGAAAAACAACCTTAATGAGATTATATGAATTAGTAGAAGAAATTTGGGATTCTTGGTGGAATAGGAATAAATCTGGCTTGCCTTGAAACGGCGTAAGATCCAATCAGTGAGCATTTGATTCTTTATGTCACCTGCGATAAAATGATAACGTGAAG